TGGGATTACTTCGAATAACATATTGAAGACCGTATTTAGACATAGTTTAACCAGTGCATGAAACGCTTTGACTTCTTCTGTGTAACGTGGTATTATTGCATCACTTAGCTTCACTGAAGCAATTCTGAAGCCTGTCAGGGCTACGATAATGAATGCTCGGGGGTGAAAGATCTGCCGAGCCACCTGAACTAAACAACCACAGGTGATAATCTATGCAGGGATTAGCGTCAGTCTGAGTGATGTTCATTTCTCTCCCAAGGTGCTTATCCTGTTAGATGTCACTCCGGATCAGTCGTTGTTATCTGAGGGTGTGGCACGAGAAGTAGTGAATCGTATTCAGAAATTACGAAAAAAGGTAACATAGAACAAAACTAAGTTTCCAGCACAGCACAGCACGCCACAGGACAGGTACCAGTTTGCGGCAGCGTCAAACTGGTTTCCTTTTATGTGCAATGAAGGTCACATAGGTGTTTTTGCAACATCATTTGTAGTTCCTAGCGATCAAAACTACAAAGCGTACGCAGTTCCATCAGTGTTAATATTTTCCGCAAATCGTACTTTGAAGCCAAACTTCAGGGAATTTTATAGATAAATTGAGATTTACTGTGTAAATCACCACAATTGCGTTTACAGTGATCTCTATTGTGTATACTCGAAACTAGTTTTAGACCTTGTTTTATAATTATCCCTTAAAATCAGCCATTTGCGTGTGCTAACTAGTCCTGCAAAATTTTTCAGATAAGAATACATGAACGTAGAGGTGAAACAGATTTTCATCTAATGGCCTCGCTCGAAGATTTCTCTTGAAACAGAGGCAGAAGGAAATTTGGAAATAGCCCAGTTACTGTAAAGATAAGCTGTATTGATAATTATTTTCCCTTAGTTGGTTACTTTGCATATCGATTTGTGGCTACGGAGTTCTGTAGTGTTCAAGGAAAACTGAAACGAATAAACTCAAGTTTCTTTTAACATCTTTGGAAGCTCAGTTCGCTGCTAACAGCAACTGTTTCAACAGGCGCAACTTCAGCCGTGTGATGATATCACCATTGTGTTTGACGTCACGCAAGATGAACAAGACTTAAATGACGTTATCAACACGCACAAAGAATACATCGAAGATAGTGTCAAACAGCCACTCGTGCCCAACTCCCACTCGCCTAACCTTCCTTTGATAATCAGCGAGAAAACAGAGGTACGTTGCATGGTTTTTGAATTTGAAGCATACGGTTTGAGGAGAATTTCCTTCTTTTTAGGTCAGCTGTGCGAAAAATCGTTGAAACAGTATCAAAGAGGTCTAGGGTTTCTCTGCATCTTTCTGGGTTGCTTCACATTGCACGGATGACTGTACTTTCACTGTAGCAGTGGCTCATTATAACAAGCATTTTTTTGGCCTACTGAAACGTTGAAGTAACACTTGTAACTCATCCACCTTCCTTCCTCGTGATTGAAACTCGCTAATATTTGATATGGTTCACTGTGTCGGGTTAGTAGAATGTCACAGTTATCTTGATGAATATTTCCGAGGATTTTTTTTATCAATTGTAGGTGAAAGGCAGCATGCTTGATCTGAAGCTGCTACGAGGCCACCAGAAAGAAGACAACAAGATAACAGCAGCAGGAGGAGAACCAGTGTGTAGGTTTGTCAATGTTCAGCTGTGTGGAGCTGCAGACCTCAAGGGAACTGTTCTTCTTGAAAATCCTCACGGGACTTCAGTTATTACACTTGATCAACTTAAGCGACAGGTACGTACTTCGTGTTCCATTCTGAGAAGTTCAGTTATAAAACTATTTCAAGCTATTTTTTATATGTGCCTAGAATTTACGCGAGTAATCAGTCCCGTTAGTCAAAATAACGAAATTCTCCATCAGTACACATCAATGAAATGAAAATTGATTAATTTCAATTCACAGTAATTTCGGTTGACACATTTGTATTTAAAAAAGCTTAAAAACATGCAGGAATGGTTTTTTTTTTTTTTTACAATCTTAAGTTTTCGGAGTAAAAAAAGACATTTGACAAGTCCTCCCTTCATTATTCTGGACGTCGCGAAATCTAAGAGGCGACAATATATCCGAATCTAGTAATTGTGATATTGTACAATGTTGCCAAGAAAATCTTGATGAATGCATCGTACATCCTGCTACTTGAAAAAGAATTGCCCGTACCGTTCATTGCGGCTTAGTTCCTCGGTTTGAAACTTGCCTTCTCCAACTTGACGTTCTCTTTGCACTCACTGTTGGTGCGCGCTTTAGTGCTGCTTTATCTTACTACTAAGTTTACATATTTTGTGTGTGTTTGACACAGGTAGCCATGATGTTTGATCAAAGGGAGAGCGTGTTAAAACTGTCTGTGTCAGCAACTTGTGACTCAGGTCAGCCTAGCATTAAGTCCAACTTTATACAAACTTTCTTGACGCTTATCCTTCTTGATCCCCTCTCAATTTTGTCTACGTACCATTCTTTCTATCCATGGAGACTGTTAGTTATTGAACTGACAAACTGACACGTCTTTCTTTTCTTTTCTTTCTTTCAGTTCTCACCGCCCAAGACTTGTCCAAATTACACGGCTGTCAGTTGTACGCTTTCGTTAAGAGCTAACGTCTCAAAACCTGTTGGCAATGTGGCTGCTTAATTAATTAAAAGCCGTTGTGCATCTAGGCGGCAACCACACTACGCCAGAGAAATTTGAAAACCCAGCTTTATTTCTACGGTTAGGTCTACCGTTCACACTAATCCGTCACGAAAACGGAGATTTTCGAACACGCTCTTCAAACCGGAGGAATTTGAAAACGCTGGGTTTTCGTTTTCGTGTGGACGGGAAACATTTTGATAACGGAGCTTTTCGAAAACGATGACGTCACGTTAATCACGTGATTTCCCGACCGTGTTCTCCTCAAACAAATCCAAAATGAATGGCGATTGTTGTGCCTTTTTAAATTCCTCTGGCGTAGTGTGGACGGAAAACATTTGATGCGTTTTCAGTTTGAAACCTCCGTTTTCAAATGCCCCCGGCGTAGTGTGGACGAAGCCTAAGTAGTACCTCAACACAAGCTATCGGATTCTGCACTAGTTTACCTAACAATTATTTCGACGTAGCAGGATGTGGGCGTCTCAGTTTAACTGACTATAAACATCTTTGTGAAGCTCTGTCAGTTGGCCTACTAAGTTATGATGACCTATTTATGCCGTTCACTTCACGGAATAATTTTTGTTACTGACGAAGCATGCAGGTCCTGTTCAGCAGGGCTCATATCTTTTGGTACTTTTACTCGGGGACCTTCACAGGGTTTGGCCACAACAAATTGTAATAAACAGCTAAACAAGCTGTTCGATCCACCATCTTTTTCTCGGGTGACCATAGATAACGATATACTTGTGAATGACAGTAGCTATTTGCTTCAAACTTGATTAAAATTAGTCCCAAATGCATTGATAGTGAACGAATTTTGAATGTTGTGCGAGGGTAAACAGACATTGCAGTTCAAACGTGTTGAACTTTGAATTTTCGTAGCCTACGTTTATTTCAGAAAAAGTCTCATTTAAGTTTCACTGTACGACGCACTTCTATGTTTTGGATAGAGTACAACTTGTGTT